TAATTATTCGTCGACTGAAAAATCACTCGAAGAAAGAAGCACGCAACAATTCACTAACACACGACGATTTACTGACACACGAGACGTTCACTCACACGTTCGCGTTTCGACAATGATACAACAGAACCATAAAACCAATAAATTCAGTTGACTACTTACTATCGTCGGGTGAACGTCTCGGGTGTCAGTAAATCGTCGTGTGTTAATAAATTGTGCGCGTGTTTCTTTCTTCGAGTGATTTTTCAGTTGACGTATAATTAATAGACTCGGAATTGATAATCATTAACTAATAAATTCGGTACTAAAGTCAGTCGACTGCTTGCTATCATCGAGTGCACGCGTCGTGTGTTTCTTTTCTCGAGTGATTTTTTTAGTCGTAAAATAATTAATCGATACGAATAATTAATCGACACTGATAATTATTAATTAATAAATTCGGTATTAAAGTCAGTTGACTGCTTGCTATCCTCGAGTGAACGGGTCGTGTATTAATAAATCGCCGTGTGTTTCTTCGTGTGATGTTTCAGTGGATAGATAATTAATCAACAGTGATTGTAAAGTACGTAACAGATAGATGCATTAGTTGATTTTTCGTGATTTCCAGTGAATTGTTCGTATGTGAATCGAGTATGAGAATCGAGTGTGAAATGTTGAAGTGACACGTTATGTAAAAAAAAGAATTAACTAAATAATAATCAGATCTGTGTCAGTTAGTGATAGCGTCTGCAAAATTAAAATTAACGAAAATTTATTAAAATAAACGTCTATTTGGAACTGTACATGGTCCATCGAAATGGAAATTCCGTCTTTCTCACGAAACTATACAAAAGTCATCGAATCTTTACAAGGTAATTGATGTGTGTGCATGCGTGCGCGCGCGCGTGCGTGTGTGTGTGTGTGTGCGTGTGCGTGTGCGTGGGCGTGTGCGCGTGTGTGTGTGTGTGTGCGCGTGCGTGCGTGTGCGTGCGTGCGTGCGTGTGCGTGCGTGCGTGCGCATGCGCGTGTGCGTGTGCGTGTGCGTGCGTGTGTGTGTGTGTGTTAAATGTGAGCAAGAGAGAATGTAATCGCATGTCCTTAAAATGTCATGTGTATGCGCGCGTGTAGCAGTCAGCTGATCGTCGCGAGGGCCCCGCCTGCGTCCGACCATGGACTTAGGAATACAAGGACGGAGCATTTGCTGGTTAGATAGGCGAGAGGGGTTTTGATAATCGAAGTGAGGGGGATCACGCCTGGTCACGTGGTCACTTCCCTGACTTCGGTACATTTCGGTTATGTTCGGTAATATTCGACGCGTGCAGGCACCTGCACTGGACAAAAAACTATCAGGAATGATTCGAGCGGTGCAAAGAAGAGTGGCCCTCCGAGTGATAGCAGCGTACAGGACTGTGTCCTATCCAACCGCTTTTCTGCTGGCCAGGGTTATGCCGGTGGAGTACCTGGCGGATCGCTACCGGGAGATATACCCAGTGATAAACAATTTGTCGACCCGACGTCGATTCGACGTCGAAAAGTGGGTTCGAAATGAGATCGAAATTGACATCGACATCGATGTCTTTTTGACTCCCACGTCGACCTCCTGTCGATTCAAACTGCGAAATCGATTTGACATTGATCATAAATCAAAATCCTGCCCAAGGAGAACAGAAAGATC